CTTTTTCTTTTTGGCCAAAAGGAGATTTTATTATTGTTTAATGGTTTCTTCTCGCATTGTGATTATTAATGACTTTGTTGAGTTTTCACTCAATTACTACTCCCTTCGGGCGAATTTACTTGTCATACACTGAATTTTGAAGTAATCTTAGATAATATTTTATATAATATATATAAATGATAATTGAAAATTTTTTTATTTATGATTAATATACCATAAAAAAATATATTACTTAACTATAAGTACGAAAAAATAAATAACTTATATTTTAGAACATATGGAATTTTTTTTTTTTAAGTGTAAGGTTCTTCACACATATTTTAGCATATTCTAGTGGAAACAACATTACAATATTAGACAGTTGTGGAGATCACATGAGTAAGATTCTTACTGTCTCCTCCTTTATTTTATTTTTCTTTGCAGGAATGCTTTTCTTATTTTATATTACTTTTGCAAATGTAAATGGGTAACACGGCCCTAACAACCGAGGCCCAGCATGACTGTTGACTTCCAAATAACATCATCAACATGAATGTAATTTGCAAGCAGACAAGCAATTATTATGTAAAAGGGCCGACTTTACTCCTCAAAATGAGTTTTGGGCTTAACCTCTTGTTTTCGTCGATGGAAGTAAGAAATGGATTAACTATACTCCTCGTCGACCTATTGTTCTCTTTTTCTTTTTCTTTTTTTTTTTCCCCCCACCATCTAATATATTGATGGGTTAATTATAAATTCACTTAACATGTAGAATGTTGTAATGGTGTATAAGAGTGTAAATAATTTTAAATATTAATTATAATTTGTTATGGAAATGATTGTTGACTAAGTTTGGTTAGAGTTGTATTAAAGTTTGTTGTTAGATCTTTTATTTAACCTAGAAATATTTTTTTAGGCTTCATGCTTGACTTGACCCACTTAAACTTTCAAATATTGGCTTGTTGTAATTTGAGTATCTTTTAGGAATTTAAGTGGTGACAACATTTTAATTATGTCTGATAAAAGCAACAAATAAAAACAATGGTGTTTTTTTTTTTTTTTTTTTTTTTTTTTTAGTTTGATCAACAAATAAAAGCAAAAGATAGTTAGGTTTATGTCCTTATATTGGGCTTTGGTAAAGTTAAGCTATTTAAGCATTATATAAAAATAAAGAAGTATAAGATATAGTACAAGTTATAATCAAACCCTCAACTAATTAATTTAATTTAAAGCATTTAAAGGGCTGATAATCAAATACTTACATAAATATTGTGGTGAGATCCGAGCTCCAGATATGATAAATTTCTTTTCAACAAAATCCATCTAACATAAGACACTAACATGTGATTTTAGAAACAACAATAAGGTTACAAAGTGTGTAAAGAAAAATTATTTTCAAATGTTTTTAACTGTTAGGTAATCTCATTTGTTGTACCAATTTCAGGGAGAGCAAACAACTTGATGGCACAATAGTTCCTTTCCATTATATGACTTTTTTTTTTTTTATCTTGGTTGTACAATGAGAAACAATCATTGCTCATCTCTTATTCCACCCTACCTGCATGTTATACTATTCGAATTTAAAATCTCTTATTTCCAGCGGAAGAAAATAATCATTGAGTTATTTAAGTCGTTGGTCATTATATAATCTTATAAATATTAATATTATACAAATTAAGAGGCTAATCTCCAAAAATTAATATCTTCCTTAATCTCCTTTTATATGATCATATAATATTTGTAAATAAGACGTGTTTCAATAGAACTCTAGAATTATAATCCTAAAAATATTCTAAAGAGCAATCAGGGCACCCCATGGATCTACCCAATCTAAACTACTATAGGTATCTACAAAATCACTGCTCTGAAAAGATGATTGATAGATTAATTTCATTCAATTAGAACTTAATTGAAACAATCGAATTAAAAATAGGTTCCGTGATAGCGAAAATCCTTCCTTTGAACCCAAATTATGCCTTTAATTACTCAAATTGTTGCTTTTTTTGCACTTCAAACCCCTCCAACCAATAATCAAAGCAACCAGCAAGCTTCGCCAATCGCCACCGCACAAACCAACAACCCGCAGCCACCGCGAAGAAAGCCACCAAGTCAAGCCGCGAGCAGCAAGTTTTTGCTTTTGATTTTTTTTTTTTTTTTTTTTTCCCCCCACCATCTAATATATTGATGGGTTAATTATAAATTCACTTAACATGTAGAATGTTGTAATGGTGTATAAGAGTGTAAAT